TTTCCCTATGAATTTTCTTGGCCTTTTTTGTCAATTCATCATAAATGTTAGTGTTTATTTCTGGACTGTCAGTTCTATTCTCTTGATCTATATATCTGTTCCTGTGCCAGTACCACCCTTTTTTGATTACTGTAGCTGTGTGATAAGTTTTGAAATCAGAACTTGAGTCCTCCAGCTTTGTTCATCATTTTCCAGATTGGTTTGGCTACAGTGGGTCCCTTGAATTTCTGTATGAACTTTGGGATCTGCTTGTCAATTTTTGCAAAGAAAAAATGCCAGTTGGGGGCTTCCCTGGTGGTGCAGTGGTTGAGGGTCCACCTGCCGATGCAGGGGACACGGGTTCGTGCCCCGGTCCGGGAAGATCCCACATGCCATGGAGCGCCTGAGCCCGTGAGCCATGGCCGTTGAGCCTGCACGTCTCCGCAGCAGGAGAGGCCACAACAGTGAGAGGCCCACATACCGCAAAAAAAAAAAAAAAAAGCCAGTTGGCATTTTGTTAGGAATTGCCTTGAATCTGTAGATCAATATGGGAATATTGCCATCTTAACAATATTAAGTCTTCCTATCCATTGGGCCAGTTTTCCATTTATTCTGATCTTCTGTAATTTCTTTCAATAATGTTTTGTGGTGTACTCGTTTTATTTATTTATTTATTTTGATAAATATATTCTTAAGTATTTTATTCTTATGCTGTTGTGAATGGAATTGTTGTATTTCATTTTTGGATTGTTCACTGTGTATGGAAATGCAGTTGATTTTTGTCTGTTGAGCTCACATCCTAAACTTTAATGAACTTGCTTATTAGTCCTAGTTGGTTTTTGTATGATTTCCTTGCTATTTTCTGTGTAGAAGATCATGTCATCTGCAAATAGAGATACTTCTTCCTCTCCTTTTTGGATTTCTTTAAGTTGCTTTCTAGAGTGCCCTGGCTAGAACCTCCAGGTGATAAGAGGAAGTATGGACATACTTGTGTTGGTCTTATCCTAAGGAAAAAGCATTTGATCTTTCACTATTTAGTATAATGTTAGCTGTGCATCTTTTGTAAATGCCATTCATCTGTTTGAGGAAGTCCTTTTCATTTATAGTTTACTGAGTGATTTTATCATTAAAAAGTGTTGAATTAAAAAAAAAGTGTTGGATTTTGTTGAGCTAAATAGTAGCTTTTAACATGTGTTACATTGTTGGGATATAAAATAAGTTTTTACGACTTATCTGGTAAAGGTTATATGAAAATACTAAAATTTATTTGCCAAATACCAAAGCTATAAGAATTTTTTAAATGGAAAAGTTATTTGAAAGCTGTTTATAATTATTATAAAGCTTGAAAGAGGTGATGGAAGGCTGTAGGGTTTGGAGTGTTCCAAAGAATTGTAAGATATGGATTATTGGAAAGGAGGAAGAAATGTCTTTTGGGATGAATATAAATTTAATCATGCCCTGTTTTAAGAGGCTGGACTAAGTTTATGATTCTTAGTCATTGGAGTATTTATTTCCAATTGGAAGATTTATTTCCCAGTGATATGTCAGGCAGTGTCAGGGTAATAAGAAGCCATGGAATAAATATCACATTTTTAAAGTGTTTTTTGTCCAGTGGTGTTTAATTAGTTTGTTGGCTTTTTAAAAATTTAAACATTTTACTTTGAAGTAATTGTAGATTCTCATAAAGTAGTAAGAAATAATATAGAAAGATTGCTTTTCCCCTTTACCTAGTTTCCAACAATGATGACATCTTGCAAATCTGTAACAATATATCACAACCGGGATAATGACATTGATACAGTCAGGCTACTTAATGTTTACACCACAGCAAGGATCCCTTATGTTGCCCTGTAATAGCTACATCCACTTCTCTCTTATTCCCATTCCTTTCTTAACCCCTGGCAACCATTAATCTAGTTTCTATTTCTATAATTTTGTCATTTTAAGACTCGTATAGATGAAATCATACAGTGTGCAGTCATTTAGTATTGGCTTTTTTTCACTCAGCATAATTCTCTGCAGAATATTCAGTATCAACAGTCTGTTCATTTTTATTGATGTGTAGTATTCTATGTACTACAATTTGTTTAAATATGTACCTGTTGTTTAAATATGTACCTGTTGAATGACAACTTGGTAGTTTTCTAGTTGTTCGCTATTACAAATAAAGCTGCTATAGACATTCCTCTGCAGGTTTTTGATGAACATAGGTCTTTATTACTATTGTTGAGTCATATGGTAATTGTATGTTTTAAATTTTTGTACCATTTTACATTCCCACCGGTAATGTATGAGTGATCTCATTACTCCACAGCCACACCAGCATTTGATGTTGTCATTATTTTTTTTTAATTTATTTATTCTCTTTTTATTATTTATGTTTTGGCTGTGTTGGGTCTTCGTTGCTGCACGGGCTTTCTCTAGTTGCAGCGAGCAGGGGCTACTCTTCGTTGTGGTGTGTAGGCTTCTCATTGTGGTGGCTTCTCTTGTTGCAGAGCGTGGGTTCTAGGCTCATGGGCTCTAGAGCACAGGCTCAGTAGTTGTGGCTCATGGGCTCTAGAGCACAGGCTCAGTAGTTGTGGCTCACAGGCTCTAGAGCACAGGCTTAGTAGTTGTGTTGCACGGGCTTAGTTGCTCCATGGCATGTGGGATCTTCCCAGACCAGGGCTGGAACCCGTGTCCCCTGCATTGGCAGGCGGATTCTTAATCACTGTGCCACCAGGGAAGTCCTGTCGTTATTTTTTATTTTAGCCATTCTCTGATAGGTGTGTTGTGATATTTCATTGTGGTTTTAATTTCCATTTCCTTATTGATCAATGATGTTGAACATCTTTTCATGCCCTTATTTCCCATCTCTGTCCTGTTCAGTGAAATGTATATGTTTTTGCCCCTTTTGGGGGACTGGATTGTTTTAAAATTTTTTTTTTTTTACTCCTCAATTTTGAGAGTTCTTTGTAAGTTTTTTATTGGATATGAGATTTGCAAATCTTTTCTTCCAGTCTGCAGCTGGGAGAGAGAGAGGCACCTCATTACTGTTAAGTGGGAATGAAAGCTGTCTCCCCATGTCGTCTCTACTGACATCACAGGGAGGGGTAGCTCATTACTAGCCATCAGGGGTGAAAATAGTTCTGGGATCTTGCTTGACCATCTCTAATTCCACATTGGCCTGGATGTTGGGGTTCCTTATTAGAGTTTTGAAAGGATAGATCTCAAGCTCCTCACTTGGCTTTTGCTGGTGTGAGTGTGGGTGAGGCCACAGTGTTTTTCTGTGATGTTTGGCTGGAAGAGAGCAGTTATTGTCTAAAAGTTTTGTGTCTTGCTAAACTTTACCTTTGCTTGTTTTTTAGCTAATGAGAGCAGGTATTTTTTAGAGCTTTTGTGCTGTTTGTGCTCTTCTGTGCTCTTTGTTCATGGGGCGCTGTCTTCACCTCCAAGTCTGGGATATTTGAAGTAAAAAGAAAACCCAGGGATCTCACTACCTTGTTACTCCTCAGGTCCCAAGGTCCCTAGCCAGTCTGCCTTTTTCTCTACACCTTTCAGATTCTTTTTGAGTTTGTTGTATATATAATATCCAGGATTTTTAGTTGTGCTTAGCAGGAGGAATAGGGAAAAGTACATCTCCTCCATTATGTGACAAATGGCACCATAATTTAAAATATTTTTATATGAAATCAAATGTGGCACTAAAGTTAAATAGAATGCCAGGTTAACTTTATAGGTAAAACACCGAAATATCAAAGAAATGTTATATTTATCTTTAGGCACTGATCCTATACCCCAGAAAGAGGTACTAGTTCTTTTTCCTATTGTTAATGGTAAATATTAGGTTGTAGGCCAAGCTTCTGTAACAAAGAGACTCAAATACAGTGGCTCAAATAAGGTAGAACTGTATTTTTCTCTCATATCCAGGGTAAGAAAGAAAGCTCTGCTTCTTGAGGTCTTCTGAGGAACCAAACTAGGTGGGCAGCTGAGCCATCCTTACATTTGGCTTCCCAAGGTTGTTCTAGATATCACCATTTTCAGTTGGCAAAGGTAATGGTGATGGTAATGATGGTTGGGGTAGGGAAACATAGAGGTCAGGATTCAGATCTGCTGAACCCTCAGAAATGATCAGAGGACAACGGAGCCCATCATCATGGACAACCAGGCACATCAACCTTGCCAAGTCACTGGACCAGAACAACTCCCATTTCAAAGTTTGGAATTCATTGCAGTTACAAAGTCATTCCCCATTTCAAAACTTTATAGGTGATGACTTGAAAATTAGCAAGGGTCTTCAAATGCCATTCCGTGAAAAGTTGGACCCTTGGCTGTCAGAATTAGTAGAACCTGCTTGTATGCCACCTGAAGAAATGAATTGTCAGTCGTCATCACAAATGCTCCCCCCAGAACCCATGAAAAAGTTTACTACCTCCATCACTTTCTCATCTCACCGACATTCTAAATGCTTTTCAGATTCCTCTTCTCTTAATGTTGGTGTTACTGAAGGTAGCCAGTGTACTGGAGCATCTGTGGGGCTAGTTAATTCTCATATCACTGAAGAGCAAAATCCTCCTAGAGATCTAAAAGAGAAAACCTCTTCCCCTTCATCATTTAAAATCATTAGTCAGTCACCAGATAAAGCTGTGACTATTTTAGCAGAAAATAGTAGGCAAAGCCAAAAATTATCTGTTGCACATTCTCACCAAGAAGAAAAACCCTTAGAAAGATCAGATTTTAAAGGCAGTCATTCTAAGCCCAGTACCAGTGCAAATGATAGCAATTTCAAGGAAATTCATTTTTCTGATAATGATACTCTCATTAGCATGGGCAGACCAAGTTCCACACTAGGAGTAAAAGAGAAGAATGTAACTATAACTCCAGATCTTCCTTCGAACATTTTTCTTGAACAAGAGCTCTTGGAACAAAGCAAAGCCTCACATGCAGATCACCATGTGAGAAAACACAATTCTCCCCCTCCTCAACATCAGGATTATGTAGCTGCAAATCTCCCTTGTCATATTTTTCTTGAAAAACGAGAACTCCTTAAACAAAGCAAGACCCAACATAAAGATAATCAGTTGAGAGAAAACCACTCTCCCCTTCCTCAAAGTCAGGATTATATAGCTTCAGACCTTCCTTCTCGCATTTTTCTTGAACAACGTCAGCTCTTTGAACAAAGCAAAGCCCCAAATGTAGATCACCACATGGGAGAACACCACTCTTCCTTTCCTCAAGGTCAGGATTGTATAGTAGAAAAGAATAATGAACATGAGCCTAAATTACACATTTCTGATATGATAAATGTTGAAGCCAAATTCAGTGATGTGGCCTCCCCATCAGCCCCAAATCAATGTACAGTAGTAACATCTGCATCTACTTCACCTTCAAATAGAAAAGCACTTTCTTGTGTTCGTATAACTCTTTGTCCCAAGACTCCTTCCAAGTTGGATAGTGGAACCTTAGATAAAAGATTTCATTCATTGGATCCTGCCTCTAAAACAAGGATGAATAGTGAGTTTAACTCTGACCTACAGACTATATCTTCAGAATCATTGGAACCAACCTCCAAATTATTGACCAGTAAACCTGTAGCACAGGATCAAGAATCTTTAGGTTTTCTAGGACCTAAATCTTCACCGGACTTCCAAGTCGTACAGTCTCCTCTTCCAGATAGTAATATTTCCCAGGACTTGAAAACCATACCTTTTCAGAATAGCCAGATAGTAACCTCAAGGCAAACACAAGTGAACATTTCAGATTTGGAAGGATATTCCAATCCAGAAGGGACTCCGGTATCTGCAGTTCGGTGAGTCTCATTGTGATTACAAGCAAGCTGATGGAATTTATGATAAAGGGTTTAAAATACTTAAGCAAATGTAAGTTCTTGGGGGAGAGGCAGTATGATTTCTCTTAGGGGAGGTTGTATCTGCCTAAGCTAGAATTCTGTCAAGGAATAAATACCTAACTAAGAGAAAACACCTGAGAGTAATGTATTTATTACTCTCAAAGAGCTTTTGGAAAACGACTTGACATCAAGTATTTTAAAACACTGAATTACTCTAAGAAGAATCTTTGATCATTGAGTGGTACAATTTACTAATTCCTTATTTATTACATTGGAAATATGCTGAAGACCAGGCTTTGCTCCCTCTCCCCCTCTCTTTGTTTCCATTTCATGATTCCCCTCAAATATTTAGTACTTAGAATGAAAAAAAGTGAAATTTCCTGGCAGACATCACTTCAGCCAAGTGGTCAAGGTTAACATCACCAGTAATGCACATCAACCTAATGTGGTTCCTCATGTGATGCCTTATTACTTCACAATGATTGTAGGAATGGAAACCCAATTCAGGGGAAATGCATTATATTTATACTATTCAGATTGATTTTAAGTTTTACATTAATGAGTCTTTTACCATATGGCTAAACGAATTACTGTCTGTGTTTAATGTTTCCACCTTATAGTTGAGAAGGTAGTATTTCAGAGTGGAGAGCACTGGCCTTACAAAGAGGGAAAAAATGTGTAATTGACATCCGCATGGGGTAGTCATGGCAGTGAGGGACTTCAATATGTTATCTCATTTAATACTTGTGATAACCCTATGAGGTTGGTGGTGGTATCCTTATTTGCCCTCTGGGAAACTGAGACACTGACATTGCTACCAAGCAAACCTCATTGTCTCAAATAATGCAGTCTGTTCAATCTAAGCAAGAGCTTGTTCACCATGTGGTACTGTATCTCCCGAATCCTAAACCCTACTTAAACTATTCTATCAACTGTCCTCTTGGACAAGTCATTTAATATCTTTGGCACTCATATATGGATGATTGATGGAAGGGAAGGGTTGGAAAGCTTAAAGGTCCATTACAGCTTGAAAAATTAGTGGTTGAGAATTGGATTGGGGCAGGAAAAAACAAGGTCAATCTCTGATTTCAATACTATTATAAATAGTAGAGTGTTATAGAAATCAGTACTGTGTGTGAAAAATGTTTGGAAATTAAAAGATTGACAAGTTTACATACAATACGTAAACTCTTCTAAGTGATAAAATGCCAAGTTATTGGGGCTGAATTCCTTGAATGAGAAGAAAATTATAGATGATTTTAAATATGAACTAATAATAATGCTGTTTGTTCAGAATGTACTGAATGCCAGGCATTGTAGTCAATGTGTATATCACTTTATACTTAGTATAATCATCCGGAGGTAGATATTATTACCTCAATTTATAGATTTTAAAAACCTAATACTTAGAGAAATTAAATGTTTTGCCTAAGATCACATGGCCATTAAGTGTTGGAGGTGGCATTTGAACCTAGGTTTGTCTGACTCCAGAGTCCATAAATAATTCAAACTGTATATACATATACACACTTATCTGTGTGTGTGTGTGTGTGTGCATATATATATGCATAAAACATTTATATATGTATTAAACTTTTTTATTTTGAGATAATTTTAGACTTACAGAGGAGCTGCAAAAAATAGTAGAGTTCCTGTGTTATTTATTGCAGTGTAACCTATTACCCTGAAATGTAGCAGCTTAAAACAATAAATATTATCCCAAAGTTTCTGTGGGTCAGAGATCTAGGCATGGCTTAACTGGGTGCTTCTGGCTTAGGGTCTCTCACAAGGTTGCAAACAAGGTATTGACTACAGCTGTGGTCCCATCTCAAGGCTTGACTAAGAGAATGTCCTTCCAAGCTCACTCACACAGTTATTGGCCAGAAATAATCAGTTTCTTCTTTCCATATGGCAGCTATGACAGCAAAGCTTTTCTCAGAGTGAGCAATTGAGACTGCAGGAGAAGGTGCTGAAGACAAAACCCAGTCATTACTTTGTAAGCTAACCTTGGAAGTGAATTTCACCACATCTGCCACATTCTACTAGAAAGAAATGAATCACTATTTCCAGCCCACCCTCAAGGGTTAGGGATTACACAAGTGCATGAATACCAGGAGGCAGAGATCATTGGGGGGATTTTTTTTTTTTTTTTTTTTTTGGCCACGCCATGTGGCATGCGGGATGGGATCTTAGTTCCCCCACCAGGGATCGAACCCTTGCCCCCTGCATTGGGAGCATGGAATCTTAACCACTGGACCACCAGGGAAGTCCCATTGGGGGCCTATTTTAGAGGTTGCCAATATACCCTTTGCTAAAGCTTCCCCTTACGTTAACATCTTACCCTAACATCATAACCATAAAACATTTACCAAAGCTAAGAAATTCTCCTCATATAAAATTATAATTAAATGTATAGACCAATTTGGATTTCACCTGTTTTTTCCACAAATGAACCTTTTTTGTTCCAGATCCATCCCATAATCTCACCTTGCACGTAGTTGTTGTGTCCTTAATCTCCTCCAATGTGTGTCAGTTTCTCAGACTTTCCTTGTTTTTCATAACTTTCACACTTTGAAGAGAATTAGTTATTTTGGAGAAAGCCTTTTCCATCTGGCTTTGTCTGATGTTGTCTCAAGATTAGATTGGGGTTATACACTTTCAGTGCATTTCATCAGGGAGCACATTAAGTTGATATGCATGACTAGTGATGTTAACCTTGATCACTTGGCTAAAGTAGTATCTACCAAGATTCTCCACTGTAAACTTAATGTTTTTCCTTTGTAGATACAAAATTTTTTTTTGATACTAAATATTTAAGGGAGATACTGATAGACTATGCAAATGTCCTGTTTCTGCTTAAACTTTGACCACTAATTTTAAGCATCCTTCAGTGGATCTTGCTTGTAGCAATTATTACTCTGGTATTCTAATGGAGTTTTCATATTTCCTTTACTCCTTCTACATTTATTAATTGGAATTCTTCTGTAAGCAAGAGCTGTTGTTCCTCCCCCATTTATTTATTCCTTTAGTTTCCATGTACATTAGTATGAACTCAGGGGTATTTATTTCATTCTTTGGATTACAATCCAATTCTACTCAAATTGTTTTAGTTTTAGCTATTGAGAACACTTTCATGTTGGCTCCTGTACCTTGCCACTACCCTGAAATCAACTATTTCCCCAAAGAACCCTCGTTTTTTTTTGTTTGTTTGTTTTGGAAAATAAGATTTTTTTCCCTAGCTTTATTAGATAAAATTGACATATAACATTGTTTAAGGTATACAGTGCTTTGATTTGATACACTTATATTGCAGAATAATTACCATCGTGGCATTAGCTAACACTTCCATCACGTCACATAGTTATCATTACTGTTTTTTTTTTTTTTTTTAACATCTTTATTGGGGTATAATTGCTTTACAATGGTGTGTTAGTTTCTGCTTTATAACAGAGTGAGTCAGTTATACATATACATATGTTCCCATATCTCTTCCCTCTTTGTCTCCCTCCCTCCCACCCTTCCTATCCCACCCCTCCAGACAGCCACAAAGAACCCAGCCGGTTTCCCTGTGCCATGCGGCTGCTTCCCACTGGCTATCTACCTTACGTTTGTTAGTATATATATGTCCATGTCTCTCTCTCGCCCTAACACCCCTCACCCTTCCCCCTCCCCATATCCTCAAGTCTGTTCTCCAGTAGGTCTCTGTCTTTATTCCTGTTTTACCCCTAGGTTCTTCATAACATTTTTTTTTTCTTAAATTCCATATATATGTGTTAGCATACGGTATTTGTCCTTCTCTTTCTGACTTACTTCACTCTGTATGACAGACTCTAGATCTATCCACCTCATTACAAATAGCTCAATTTCGTTTCTTTTTATGGCTGAGTAATATTCCATTGTATATATGTGCCACATCTTCTTTATCCATTCCTCCGACGACGGGCACTTAGGTTGTTTCCATCTCCGGGCTATTGTAAATAGAGCTGCAATGAACATTTTGGTACATGACTCTTTCTGAATTCTGGTTTCCTCAGGGTATATACCTAGTAGTGGGATTGCTGGGCCATATGGTAGTTCTATTTGTAGTTTTTTAAGGAACCTCCATACTGTTCTCCATAGTGGCTGAACCAATTCACATTCCCACCAGCAGTGCAAGAGTGTTCCCTTTTCTCCACACCCTCTCCAGCATTTATTGTTTCTAGATTTTTTGATGATAGCCATTCTGACTGGTGTGAGATGATATCTCATTGTAGTCTTGATTTGCATTTCTCTAATGATTAATGATGTTGAGCATTGTTTCATGTGTTTGTTGGCAGTCTGTATATCTTTGCTGGAGAAATGTCTATTTAGGTCTTCTGCCCATTTTTGGATTGGGTTGTTTATTTTTTTGTTATTGAGCTGCATGAGCTGCCTGTAAATTTTAGAGATTAATCCTTTGTCAGTTGATTCATTTGCAAATATTTTCTCCCATTCTGAGGGCTGTCTTTTGGTCTTGTTTATGGTTTCCTTTGCTGTGCAAAAGCTTTGAAGTTTCATTAGGTCCCATTTGTTTATTTTTGTTTTTATCTCCATTACTCTAGGAGATGGGTCAAGAAGGATCTTGCTGTGATTTATGTCATAGAGTGTTCTGCCTATGTTTTCCTCTAAGAGTTTGATAGTTTCTGGCCTTACATTTAGGTCTTTAATCCATTTTGAGCTTATTTTTGTGTATGGTGTTAGGGAGTGATCTAATCTCATACTTTTACATGTACCTGTCCAGTTTTCCCAGCACCACTTATTGAAGAGGCTGTCCTTTCTCCACTGTATATTCCTGCCACCTTTATCAAAGATAAGGTGACCATATGTGCATGGGTTTATCTCTGGGCTTTCTATCCTATTCCATTGATCTATCTTTCTGTTTTTGTGCCAGTACCATACTGTCTTGATTACTGTAGCTTTGTAGTATAGTCTGAAGTCAGGCA